GTAGGCTCAAGTTTACACGCCTGAAAGAAGTAGGTCCAATCCCTGCCTAGGCCTAACCATGCCCTATCAAAACTGCAAAACTGGCTCGTATCGCCGTCACGTTAAGGATAATGGACCGCATGCAAAACTCCTGCCACGTAGCCATTTGGAAGTCGCAAAAGTAGCAGTGACAATGCTAGGTTCGTCGCTTGGAAGTGGCGATCAGACCCCTCGCCCGAGTTCTGTGGTCAGTATGCGAGGGCTACCGAGGAGTGAACGGCCTTGGCCTAAGAAGCTAGTTCGAATGAACACTCTGAACGCAGTTTACTACAGGTTTGAAGGTTGCTGATGTGACAAAGAAAGAATTGTTCAAGTTTTACGTCTTCAAGAGGTAAGATGGAAAGGACCTCAGGCCAGGAACTTGGAAGAAGAGTCAAACTTCACTACAGAGCAGAAGACACCGACGAGTGGCTATAGCGGTACGGAGTCATTCAAGGACTTTGTATGAACAGGATCAGCGATCGGATCATGGCTGTGAGGATAGACACGAAGGAGGGGTACTGGACCAATACTCTCCGTGTACGCACCGCAAGCCGGTGCCCCGAAAGTGAGAAGGACGAGTTCTATCTGAGCCTTGACGATGCCATCAGATCGATTCCGGAAGGCGATTACCTGACCATAGCAGGTGATCTGAATGGCCACGTCGGCAGTGACAAGAGGCCTGGAAAGGGTGCACGGAGGTAGAGGATAGGCAGTGAGGAACGCCGAAGGTTCTAGACTTGGCTACAGCCCACGATCTGGCCTCGCAAAAAGGGAGACACAGAAAGAAACCCACAACTGCGAAGGGAGACAAAGGAAAAACCTTGTGCTCGTAAGAAGAGCATCCCTCAAAACTGTGAAGAACATAAAGGTACTCTCCCGCGAAGAGCTGGCTCCTGCAGCACAGGCCCCTCCTGGCAGACGTTACCCAAGAAGACGACGTTAAGAACGTTACGCGTCGACGCCCCTCAGCAACAACGTTAATGAACCAGCAAGAGTACTTGAGATAAAGGTACGGGACGCGATCCTATGCAATAACCTGAGGGTGGTGAACGAAATTTAAAGCGCAGCGACCCGGCACCATTCCTGACAACACACATTCCAAGGCCAATGAAAACAAGGAAGAGTACTTCCACTTGGCAGCTCAGAATACGATCTCTTCGTCGTAATACTAGATGCCCTGGTTCATGACTACATGAGGGGCAACAGAATACTTGTTTACAAGAGAAAAACTTCCCCCGACCAAGAATAAATGGTACAATCTGCGATGCTACATAGCGAGCGACCAGTGGCCAGTGGTCAGCAACCATGATAGGCCCTACTCTGCTGAAATGAGGATTCCGACATGGGCCAGCGAGACGAGACAGAAAAGAATCAGAAACGAGGATGTCATGATGGTCATGCAGAGCGCCCCTGTCCAACTGAAGGGTCGGGAGCAGCGACTCTCATGGTATAGACATGAGCTAAGGAGGCATCATGGTAAATGATAGGAAGTGTACTTGGATCATTGGCGAGCAAACGACAGCCGAGGAGTCTCAGACACAAAAACCTTGAGGACGATCTTCAAGAGAAATCACTTAAAAAGCTCCGCCCTCATTACCACAGAAAACGATACCTTAAAGGAATCTTCCACGGAAAGAGTGATCATTTTGTCTTGTGTGTAGGATTAGTATTATCGAAACTAACGCTTATGTTCCGTTCTTTTTGCTATGCTCATGAGGCTAGGGGCCTAAGGGGTATCGTTTTTCTGTGGTAATGGAGGCGGAGCTTTTTCCGCGGAAGATTCCTTTAAGTCAGAGCCAGAAGATGTTTGGGATAGGTCAGAGCAGGAACGTCTAACAAGAACTGCAGGTCCCACTGACGAGACCACGCGGGATTACCGCCCGATAGAAGAAGACGAAAAAGAACTCGGCTCAGTTGCATCGCTGATAATTTATGGCTATTTGCTTCTAAAAAACAGGGGCGACTGTTATGCTAGTTGAATGGACTCATACTTTACTTGTTCTAGAAGGCTACAACTCGGAAAGATCAGATACGCAGCTGACTACAAATTCAAAAAATGACATTTCAAGTTCAATGCCCAAAAAAATAAGACGGTTAGCGTGATGGTAAGGTACGAGAAAGGTTACTCGAGAGTGGAAAGTTGAGTTCAAATCTACGAATTGAATTGAATGTTGGTGCTATACAAGTAGGGTGGGCACGCCGCATTTTTTGAACAGAAATGTATGTAAGTGGGACTGCTGCTCGCTACTATACTGTCACGAGAATTGGGGAATTCGTGAGCCAGGGGGAGTGTAGCCAATCTAGGGGTGGGGGTGAGGGCAGTCACTTGACATGCGTGAAAAGCTGGGCGTGCCCACCCCACTTGTATAGCACCTATGAATGTCTCTAGCAAATCTAGGACTAGAGTCAAAAAATTTACTGGACATGATAATGATACTAATAAAAAGGCTGCAAAAGGCAAATACCGCCATCAGTGGAGCTCAAATGGAGTTCGAATCGTGATTGCACAGCTGGCAACTGGAACAATTGGTGATCGCTATCGATATGGATCAGTGACCTCTGATCACAAATGTTCCTTTCGATCCCCTATGCTCGCCTTCACTCATATTTTCTCATCTTCACATCATTCCTTATATTGAGCTCGGGGCAGATGTACTGTACCCAATGTCGCTTTACATTTTCCGAATAGTAACACTTTTTCCTTGTCAAATTTGGAATGCTTGGCGTTACCCGTCCCTGTTATGTGCCACGCTTTCATCATCTGTTCAGAAGTAATGAAGAAATTGGAAGGCCAACATATATTAAGTCCCTCCGACAGCCTGTGGTTTGTCCATTCAAGCTGGAGCTTTTGTAAGTCTAATTACCTACTTCCCTACATGCTTAATTGACCATTGTCCGCGAACGCAAGCTTGGTAAGAATCATAAGACCGACTGTAGAAGAAACTCACTTTTCCTGTGTTTGAGACTACCGGGGCAGAGGTGGTGCAGCGGCAAGTGGCGCCACGCACAAGTTCGGGTATCGAATCTCAAACCCAATTTCGCCCACTCAAGCCGTGTATCCATCCGACGTCACTGAACTGGCACCAGATTTGTCCTGAAGAACAAAAACACTGACTGTCACATACATCGGCTGGCTCCGCAATTCATTGTATGCGCCATACCGCACTCAAAGCCACCAAAATTCTGAATGTGAGTCGGATGCGTGCCGCATCCCAGAATAGATTGATGGGCGCCAAAAGTTTGGGATTTTTCCGTCTAGAAGCACCATACAGAAGTCAATAACACCATAAGTTCACAATCACGAACAACAATTCACTCTAAGCTGAGCCAGGCCATTATTTACCGAGACTGAAGAAAAGTGTAGACGAAGAGTCAGAAGCCAGCCATTGACATTTTCCGCAGAAAACTCGATACTTCAATCTCAGCTTTTCGCTACCAACAATTTTGATATTCGTCTACTCCATCCTCTCAAAGTATTTGACCATCAACAGAGAGCAGATGTCAAAACTAAAAGCAGGTGCTTCTTTCATGCCAAGTTTCATTTCCATTTCTCCACGTTCTTCTAGGAAGCTTTTGTTGGACTGCAATAGAGGGATTTTTCCTCTCAAAGATCAAAGATGTCCTTTGAAAACTGACCAATCCCTTTCTATAGAATAAGGCTTTGATTCCATAGAAAGAGATTGATGTGCCTATTTTAGAAAACAAACAGGATTGAGGATAAAACATTTGATGTTGATCAATTCCTTTTCGAAAATGCGCCACGCGTTCTACTCCCATTCAAAGTCGTGGTAGCTTTTTCGTGCACTTGGGCCTATTCATTTACTTGCGAAGCGAGTATTGCCTTCCCAGGGAAGTCTGCCACTAATCAGCCGATTCCAGAAGCTGGAAGGTCTGGTTGACCTGAACGGCGAACAACCGACACTTGCTAACCAAAACATAGGCGGGGTGAGCAGCCGTTTTTGCCACTGTACCACTTTCGTATCCCCGGTCAACTATAGTAAATCGTACCACACCCTGGTTTCCGGTTGGGGGTTCACAAGCACAAACCATTAGGACCAGATAGTCCCACGCTGCTCTCGTAAGTGGTAAGTGCCTCTGAAAAGTTACCGCCCACAAAGGACGGACTTCCCGTCTACTCAAAGCCATATCAGGACTTCACCAAGTCAAGTAGAGGTAGAGTGAGAAAAACATGCGTTTTTTTCCTGAGATAGTAAAAAGAAAATGTAAGATTTAATCTTGGCCCTTCAGAATCTCGTAGCATCCTTACGCGGCTGGCAACAGCGGTATTACTCCAGCTAAGCGTACAAAGATGAAAAACGGAGAGTACTACGCAGGTTCGAAAACGCCCCGTCCACATTGACTTTCGGAAACGTCCTTGTTCCGACTTATATCTGAAAAACTTCTCCATCCTCCCCTAAAAGTGGTTTACTTTACGCAAGTCTCGCACTTTTCCTAGGTGATAAAGATCAACGAACAATATGTTTGTGAGCCCGTCTACCATTTCCACGGACCCAATAAAAATTAGGGTTTTGCTAACAAGGTCGCGAATTAAAGATAGATTCCAAATTGTAGGTGTGCGCATATGACAGACGTTCAGTGGGTTTTCTCTAGAAAATCTCTAAAAACTTTGATAACTGGTTGAAATATTTTTCATGCTAATCACATAGGAAGGTTAGAGCAACAATATATAAAAGTGCTAGGTAATTTCCAGAACTGGAGAAACTTTATGTGCATAGACCAGATAATTTACCTTGAAGAGTACATGGAAACATAGAATTTGGATCTACCCAACACAGACAGACCTGCAAGAATGGTCAGCTCACATAATGCAATATTACATGTAAATACTTGTGACATTAGATTTGCTGTTAAGTACCGCTTCAAGGTTTCCAAAAACATAAATATGAGGTAAGTTCATACGTCAATTTGAGCAATTGATCATAATCCTAGAAATGAGAGCATCATAGGTCTTCCTTGTTCTATATTTTGGCATTCGAATCATTGAGGGATATATCTTCACTTCCTAGTGGAGCGAAGTACCGCTCTATGTGCGCATCCGGAACTTCTTCTAAGGTCGCAGGCTTCCACTTCGGATTTCTGTCTTTGTCGATGAGAACTGTAACACAATAAGGTAAACCGTATAGGGCTCTATGTAGAAGTAGTTGTTTCCTTTTCCTGAACAAAGAATGTTCTGAACCAGAAAAAAAAACACCGACGTGGATATTAGGGCTGTTGCGCAAAAGCGTTCTCGCTTCTACGCGTGATAGATAATCCTGTGTTATAGCGCTATCACGCTGTCTGCGTCGGGTATCCGGCAGGAGGCCCGTCGCGCGGAAAGAAGGCAGAAGTAGCGCGACGAAGTCGCAGCGCGTACTATAGTGTTTGGCGTCGTCCAACTGAATGTACCACTGTACACCACACAGCACGCACCGCAACTCGTCCGTTGACTCTGTCCTCTTGCCGCGCGACGGGCCTCCTGTCGGGTACCCGTCCGCGTCGTTGTGCCTAGTTTCACGCAGCGCACAATCCCGACTGACTGGACCAACGGAATGTTGTTCGCAAGGCAGGAACGGCGCGTACTTTCTCGGAGGCATTTTGTCGAGCGAAACGTTGTAATTTTACCTGAAGCGAGCACGCCATTTTATACTCGGGGAAAGCACCCCTACTCAGTGTGACTTAGGCTTTCCCGCACGAACAAAGTGTTGCGCTTGTGAAAAGCGGAGAGGTCGCTCTTCTGTCCTAGCGAACCAGAAACAACCAATGGAGCACAAAATGACCACTTTGTGACTACTTTATTCTCGCGCCAACAGTTAAGGTAACAAAATAATTGTTGCGTGGAAAATATCTACCTTGCCCCATAACACTGTAAGCTGAAGATCGTGAACATTACCCGATCTATACGGATCACAACCCTCAGACTCTTTACGGCGGTACACGGGACTCCTTGCGAATTTTTTCGAACTCAATTCTTTAACCACTTCAGAGTTTCAGTTAATGTGTCTTTCGGAGCGCAAGCTCCGCTCTGCAACGCAGAATCCAACTTGTAGATCTCAGCAAGTTCAAAGGCCGATTAAAACCCACAGATGAAATCAGCACATTAGAGCGTACCCGCTTGACTAAACTTTCCCTTGGGAACTGAAGCTCCGAAATACTGGATGGTCCTGACAATATCCTTCTAGTGACGAAGGCATTATCCTCTCGATAACATCCCTGATAGAGGCTTCTTGACCAATCAAAGGATTTTTTAACAGAAGTGAGAAGTTCTTGTCCAAAAGCATAGATTTCAGTTCAAATGATGGGAGAGAAGACAGGCAACGAGAAACATTTGACGCTTTTCATCAACTTCATGACTGGCATTGCGTTCTCTTCTATGATACAATGGACATTTTCATTCCTGACAAATGTGAAAAGCTGCGCGCCGCTGTGAAAGTGAAGCTGAAATTACTGCGAGCTCTGGAAGGTGCCGGAAACAACCATACCTTAATTCATTTTTTTTTTTTTTTTTTTTTTTTTTTTTTTTTTTTTTTTTTTTTTCATACCTTACAATCTTGTAGACTGATTTCATTGTCAAGAATTGCGATATCTCTGCTATAATTACTACACTTCTTCAAACAAACCATGTTTATGGCCTACACCGTATTTTGCGTATACGTATAAAAAGAAAAGTAGCAAAACCCCTGAGAGAAAGCACTTACTTGCTCTGCAACCTTCATAAAAATCGTGATCTTCAAGAGAACGTTGCGTGAGCCGATACTCCATCGTGAAAACCTTAAAGGTTGTGATATCTTGCATGTAAAATTATTTGAAGTTTTCGAGTTTTGAGCGAGTGAACACAGACCTATCAAAAAAGGCTCAAAAGAGGCAACTGAACAAATTTAAGAAAGTCCAGTAGAAAAATTGCTCGAAAACTACAAATTGAAGATCAGAGAAGTATTTAGCCACAAAATGGATGGCAATACAACGTAACGAACAGAGATGACATCTTTCCCTTTAGCTTACAACAATGTAAGCAGAATCTGCGCTACGTCTCTGGGAAATTCAGGCCGAATTAAAAACCAACCTTGCTAAAGCTCATCTTAGCTCCATGCTCCAATTGCTTGAATGTCACTTTCATTGAGGTCGGACTCATCTTTGATAGGGTTTTCAGCTGTTTCTGAGCCCATTCCGAGTTGTCCTTCTTTAAGTTGGCAAATATTTCCTCAACTGACCTGAAATTTTACTTTTTTCATTTTTTTCCATTTATCAGTAAACTATCTCTATTGTTTTCTACCAAACAACTTCTTTCAATCTGCATCGAACTCTTAATGTTACACAATCCTTGACCAGACTTTCACCCATTACGCCGCTCCGAATCTGAATCAACTGAGCACCGCTCGGACTGCGGAGGAATCCTTTTGAAAAAAATTTCAGAATAAGACCATAGCCTTTGATGAAGGAACAGTATTTAGCAAAGGCCTTCCCCACTGCCATGTCCCAGGAGGAATTCTTCAGCAAATTGAGATCAAGGAACAATGAGTCGTTTATTCGAGAACAAGTAGTCGATAAAAGTGGCACTACACCAGATCTGAGCACTTTGTGTGTGATTTTTCCCTGTGCAGAAATTTCGCACTAAACTTAGTGCGAAATTCATGAAAACTCCATCATTCTTCCACGGCCAGCGACCTATGCAACAGACGCTGTTTCGAGAAGCCTGTCGAAGAGTCTACATCAAATACTATAGCTTTTTCAACATGCACCGATGGCGAGCGACCGGACGTTAACCCAGATCATGACAGGATTAGTGGGATCATTGAGAATTAGATGCTAGTCTTGGGGAATCACTTCTAATTCGCCGGCTTTTTTCAGGAGTTCGAGTGTGCACCCACGTTATTTAATGCTCAGCCCCGATCTGTTAGAGAAGAGAATACACCCTATGGAGTCTTAACGCGGCTTGACCTTGAAGTCCAACAATAGCCCTGAACTTGGCAGGCTTAACGAGGGAAGTTGACGAAAGTGATGGTAGAATATGCCCTTAGAAACCTACTGAAAACAAAACAGACGCACTGAACTTACAAGGGAGGTCTTTCAGGTGTACCCGCGCTTTCTCAAAACGGTTTTTTGCATGATGTAGAGGGATGTGCGTGGAGTACAGAACTGTAGTCCATTTCCGCTAAATGGCTCTCTGAATGCCAAAAAAGGAGTGAAAATAATTTCGTCGGATACTGCAGTTTTTACACTCACCGTGGTTGTGTTTCATTCATGGCGTGGACTGCTTGCATAATGAAGGGTTCTCGCAAGCTCTGTATCGAAAACAACGCGAAGTTTGGCCAAAATTGGAAAGTTGTCGTAGTGATGTCATGCTGTGTACTAAAGAGCGTGTGGAAGTTGCAAGCAGGGTGAATATCGGTCGAGGAAATCCTCGACAGGGGGTCGTACCTGTCGGCTGGGTCATGGGGGTCGTACTCTTGAGGGTCAGTAACAGCAGTGGTATCGTGGTGCAGATAGGTAAGAGGGTATAGCGCAGCAGAAAATGAAAATATCTGAAAAAAAAACATGATATTAAATTTTCTTTGCAGGTTCAGTCGCTCCACTCCTCCAGGCACCTCCCTGCCTATCGCTCGCTCCTTCTCCCTCAATACCTCGCTGAGAGAATGACACTGTTGTTAGGGACCCTGTCGCAAAAACGACAACCGTGAAGGAAAAGCCCTGGGCAAATGAAGTTGTTCTTCAGGTTGTAGGAGTTACGAAATGCGTTTACTACAATGCAGCTTCTGTCAACTGGTCATGATCATATGACACCTTCGAATCGATTCTCTTCGAGTGAGGTCGGATGCATGGCCTATACTCAGACAAAATTCGATGATGACGATTGCCCCTTTTCCTATTGCTTATGTTGGGAGGATGTTTTCTAGACCCATTTCAAGCGTTGCCAACAATTACACTTGCAAATGGTGAAGAAGGGAGCGGATTTTCAGTTGGCCGGATCCGTCCTCGATACATACTCGACGCAGATATCTTCTCAACTAGGAAGTGTAGAAGAAAGCTAAGAAGACCATCAGAAAGCGCAAACCTTCCGCTTTCCAAAACTATCTTCACTTTTTCAGGATCTCACGTTTTAGAGAGATATTGCTCTTGAAGTGGCAAAAACTCGCGTGAAAATTTCAGCGTCCTCGACGTTTACTCGACGAAATTTGAGAGACCCTATCTTTCTGCATGGAAGGACTTTCAGAGCAATTTCAATACTTCTTGGAAACGCGAAATCCAGCTCTATCTAACCCTACCTCAAACTGCTTCAAAGGTTATGAAATGGAGGAATGCAACCTTTTCATCGAGGGTGTAGATTTCGACGGTTTTTTTCGGGATTTCAGCAAATCTGACCCAGTGACAATCGCGCCGCAGCTGCCGTTGAATCGGCCGTTGATTGATACACTCGGCTGTTTCGATATACTCAAGCAGGAATTAAGATTAAATCGCAACCCCGTGCCTTCAGGATTTCTGTGCATTTCTGAACGAACCTGACTTTGAGGTCACACAAAGTTAATGCCTCTTTCCTCGAGTCGATATTTCAGTAAATACACAAAAGTGTGCAGCGATGAAAGACAGTGCATAGATGACAAGATGAGGCGTCCATAACATTATTTTGCAGATTTTTTTGATTTTTTGCAGGATTTATTTGATTAATTAATTGAATTAATTTGCTCTGTTAGAGGGGGTCGTGCCAGGATCTCGATTTCGGGGGGGGGGGGGGTCGTACTTCTGCTGCGACCACGTACTCGACACGATTTTCACCCTGGTTCAATGGATTTTAAGCTTGCGTGCTGCTGGCAGCATCGGTGGTGTAGTGGATAGCGCTGGGGACTTCGGTTGGCACCGACGGGCGGGGTTGATAGGTCGGATCCGCGGGAAGCGAGCTTTTGCATTTTTTGTTGGAACTTCCAAAATGGCTCCAAATTGTACTAATGCCAGAATGAGTGTCTTATTCAAGACTACAAATATTAATAACCCCCGATGAGGTAAGCTTTCACCGAAACAGGCAAAAAAAAACTTGTACGTCGAAATGGCGCCAGATGGTGGCGGGCTCCAAAAAATGATGCCATATCGTGACCTGATTTACCTCTAACGCCAAAGTTTTGAGAAATAGTGACATCTGTAGTCAATATCTTTGACGCCAACCCTTCGAAGCATTTCTGCGGCAAACATGAGTTTTCATTCCGCCAGCGCTTGCCGGTGAGCTCCGCGCGAAACCTATCAGAAACCACTGCATGTGGTGGATCCTCCTCCCGCCCATTGACCGTTATGCAAAGCTTTGGGTGCTGCTATTCTGTTCCAGTTGTTTGGGAATTTCCTCGATCCCTTGCAAAGGAATCTTGAAATGGTCATTCATGCATGGAAGTTCGGCGACGACCTGACATGCTACAAGTTTATTACCCTAAAATCCCATAGATAAGAGCGGTCCATAGATATTTTTTCAAAAATAAAATAAAAATAAAAATATTTTTTCAAAATCATTTTTTACCGGTAAATTAAACCGCTCTTATCTATGGAATTTTACTGATCGAATGGGCTCTTCAAGTTCTATCCAGAGATCAAATTCCGGCATTTCTAGAGAGATTCCGGCAGAAATTCCGTTAAAATCGCTATTTTTCTATATGAATTGTTTATTAAGTGGGCGGGGTTTAGAGTTGAGGGGCGGAGCTTCTTCTAAACTTCTTCTCCGATTTTTATTTATCCATCCATCAAGTTAGAGGGGTGACTGCATTCAATTTCAATTTCATTCCAATTCATTTTTCACCGGTAAATTAAACCGCTCTTATCTATGGGATTTTAGGGTAGTCATAGGCAACTTTCGAAGATAGTATCAAATTTGATTCTGTCTCGACACTTCGCCTACAAGGTTTTATCGGTGGCCCTTATTCGCGAATATGAATTAATTGTTAGCTTCGTATAATTTGGAACATATGAAGTTATTGGGCGGAAGTGGTGTAGTGACAAGTGGCGCGCTTACCCACGCGAGCGGTCCGGGGATCAAATCCTGGGTCGTGAGTCGCCCGGGCCAACCAAGCCTTCCATCCCTCCGGGGTCGGTTAATTGGTACCAGACTTGTCTGGGAGGATAAAAACACTGACTTGAACATCGGCTGGCCCCCGCAAGTCATTGTATAGGCCACATCGCATTCAAACGCCACTACGAATGTACAAATGGAAGTAGAATGCGTGCCGCATCCCAAAAAGGGATTGATCAACGGCAAATGCTTTATCCTTTATCCTTTATTTGTTTGACGGGCACGTTGTGCCGCTTTTGTGCCTAATCACACTATTCTCCTACCAGCTTTTGTATACGCCCACTTGTAAGGGTTTTTGTAAGCCTAATTATAAATATGACATCAATTGCTGACGTCATTTGGTGCCAATTTTGTGCGTCAAATCACAATGCAAAAATTTTGTCACCGCGGGGAATCGAACCAAGGACCACTTTCCCACTCCTTTTTTGGCATTCAGAGGGCCATTTAGCGGAAATGGACTACAGTTCTGTATCCACGCACATCCCTCTACATCATGCAAAAAACCGTTTTGAGAAAGCGCGGGTACACCTGAAAGACCTCCCTCGTTAGTGCGAAATTCATGGAATACTCTGTATGCTATTTCACTATCAATTACTGAAAAATGCAAAAAGTAAAACAAAGTAGAAGAAAAACACTCACGAAGCGTGGAATGTTTTATTGATTACTGGGAGGTGTTCTTCCAAGCTAAACGTAGGGATATCCGTTGGCTCGAATTCGCGTATAGTAGCATCTACAGATTTGTCTGTGACAGTGTCCAGTGACAGCAGCTTTCGTTGTAAATCAGCGAGTTTTGCAGAAGGAACCTACAGGTGTATGAAGTTGGTCACAAAGTCACCACCTATGAGATTTGAACGCCACAGTGTAAATGGAAGTCCTTACATAGTGGGTGGCTAGGCCGGCATGAAAAGCATCGGCGCCATGAAGTCGATATCCAGTCAATGCCAAATACAAGCCGAGATTATTCTGAAAAGGAGAGAGTGCAATTTTGGATACTGCTGTTTTAGGCTTTTCTGAATTCCAAAATCACACCTTGAGCCGAGAGAGGAAATATGAGCCTCCAACGTCAGGGAATAGCCCCAGCGCTGTCTCTGGCATAGCCAACATTGTGCGTTCAGTTGCGACTCGGTACCGCCCATTAACAGAAAGGCCGCAACCCTTGAAATATGAAATAAGCAAAGCATTGGAAAACCTAAACATGAAAAAAGCAAAACAAAACGAGCTCGATAAATAGGAAAACTAACTCCACCCATCACAATCCCATCGATAAGGGCGACGAAAGGCTTTGACAAGTTTCCGATGAGGTGATTCAATTGATACTCCTCTCTAAAAGTGAACACTTTGTAATTTTTTATTAATTGAAATATAGAAGCAATGCGTTATGGCCAAGACTATCAGGTACTTATATTCAGAGGAAAAGGAACTACCGAATATCAACTGTGACACCTTCCTTATACCAAATTCTTTCCACAGCCTTTTTTTTCGAAGTTTTCCTTTTCACTTAACCTTCAGGCGTAGACGAAAAAAGGGTTAATGAATGGGCATAGAAGAACATTAACGCTGGTAATGCAAGCGATATTGCGATATGTCAGTCATAAGAGGCGGAGCAGTAGATGACAACAAGCAATGAATGAAAAGGGCATCAGCTAAACAGCAAGAAGTCAAAAAGTAAGACATCGACATCACCAATCACGGATGCTTGGGCTCTAAGCCTTTCAGCGCGTAAATTCAGGGAGTAAACAATGAATAGATACCCATAAAAGGATAAAGCATTTGCCGTATGCAATTTTAAACATATCGACTCACCTGAAGAAATCTTTATGCACTGTGCAGGTACCACCTTCAGCAGCTTCCTTTGCAGATCTGATCACTGCTGAAAAAAACATGCCATTTCGAGAGACATCGCTTATTTTAACTGCTTTGAAGTCATCCCAACTGCTAGAAATAATTTGAATGTAGCAAACATTGTGGCGTTTCGCTAATGTGGAAATTTCACTTCCACGAACATTATTATTTGATTGTTTCAGTAACTCGAGGAAGGAGAAGCGCTCATCTTGGTGGGTGGAGTTCGGGGCCTTTTGGGGGGGGGGGGGGGGGGGGGGGGGGGGGGGGGGGGGGGGGGGGGGGGGGGGGGGGGGGGGGGGGGGGGGGGGGGGGGGGGGGGGGGGGGGGGGGGTCCCTGCGCCTCAGGGGGCCAGCCACCGCCACTTCTGACCGGCCCTAAACTTTTGCCACAGGTTTAAGTGGGCTCAACCACACCCCCTGAATTGGCCCATTTTTTTTTTCCCCCCTGGCCTGGCTCACGGCATTCTCACTTACTACTAGGTTCCCTCCACACCAAAAGGATTAGATGTCATACAACCCTCATCTTGATGGATATTTCGTCGTTTGAGCATCTAAGCAGTCAGCCTTCAAAGTTAAGGCGAAACACTTCGAAACGCGACTAATTGAGCTTCTGAGGAGCCTAGGCAAAGGGGCAATTATCTTCAGAGAGATGAATAATACGCATAGAAAATGATAAAAATACCTGAGACTGATTCTCATCGTCAACGCTAGGGATAAGAACCTGTTGCAGAAATGGCTAGAAAGACGACATAATCACAATGGCGGTGGGATACGTTTCTTGAAATGAAATGTAGTGAAGTGAATACAACAGGTTTGGAAAACAATGTGGGCAGTGAACTAACCTAAGACGTCTCCTCCAGCACAGAACGCCTTTTCACCAGACCCTTTGAGTATAATCAAATCCACGTCTCCAGCATCTTCCCATTCCTGAAGAGATACTATTCAAAATGATTTCAACACGGCCTTCATAAGGTGCTGATGTATCAACCAAAGTCACAAACAGACACTGTAAATAGAAGGCAACTATCGAACTTCAAAATCAGCACCATCTCGGAAATACCAAGGTTCCATTGACATATTATAGTAGGTGCACGGACAGAATACAACGTAGATACTAATGGTTAGTGATGCAAGCCAAACCCCTCTCCAT